TGACCGTAATTATAAATAAAAACCTCTTATAAATTCCCATTGAAGCTACCATATATACTATTAGGTCATCTCATAAGTAATACCGTTTCAAAAGACTAATGAGAAAATGGGAAAAAATCATGAAACAACGGTAGTCAACAGATCTAAATATTAATTCTTCATAGAAAAAGTTAGCATAGAAAAGCGACATCGGTTACCGGACGGTCTAATATTTCGTTCATCTTCCCTAACCACTGTATACTACTCACCCCCCACCCTTACTAATCACACAAGTTCATAAAAAACGGATCCACGGTTACGTTGTGAGCGCATACATCCCACAACGAACCTATTCATCCGACCCTAGAAGCGCATCAAACGTACAAAAACAAAATGACCTGGCTTATCCACCTACTGTCTCGATATAACGCAGATAACCACTGGAATAGTAAACAAACCTAGGAAGTATCACGGGCGTAACGCATAGTATCCTCGATAAAGAGCGTATACAAAGAGAAAGGTCGCCGGACGGCGATAAGGTATCGACGGAAAACGATCGGGCCGTTCGTTCGTGTATCCGTAAAAATCGAATCCAGACGAACGACTCCGTTTTCAATTACATTTTCATTCGGCGCGTCCGCCGCGTGCGTCCAGCGGGATCCACGATCCTCATCAATCGAGCATCGTCGTTCGATTCGACGATCACTGACCGAATATTTGCGACCGAGATGAACCGAGACGTTTGACAGGTCACGGGTTGATTCCTTTGTCGAATAAATTTTCGACGAACACTTTGTCACAGCAGATTCTCCGGTGGTTGATCCGCGCAATGCGACTAGTAAACAACACACACCGAGCGTTACGTTTGGTTGCGCGACGCGTCGCGCTGCGGCAACACTGACGTTTGAAGGAGCGCGTCTCGGCACAAACTAAACTGGGATCGAGTGCCGATCCACCGCGCAGCGATCCAAGATGCCCGAGCGGCCGCTTCGCGTCCGATTGGCTGGCCCAACTTGATCCTCCTCGGTGCAAGGACGCTTCCGCTGCATCGGGACTACGCGGGTCATTCGAAATTCTTTAAACCCTTGCTCGGTGGTACGCTCGATTTTATTGTCAGTTCGAAAGTATGTATGCTGGAACCTCGATTATCTGAACTCTGGTTAAACCAATTTCGAGGATCTGAATTTTGGATTATTTGAAGCTTGGTTAACCGAATTTTCGTTATCCAAAGTTTCGATTATCCAAACTTTGTTTATTCCGACTCTCGATTATCCGAACCTTGGCTATTCCAATTCTCGATTATCCGAACCTTGGTTACTCGAGTTTTTACTATCTGAATCCTTGATTATTCAAACTCTGGATTATCCGCGCCAGTGATGCATCGTTTTTTCTTTGTTTCTCTGTAGATAAATTAATTACTTTACCGACGATTATCTGAACCATATTGATCCTGATTAGTTCGGATACATTAGTTTCCAACATTTTTCTTGCAAGTGGTACACTTTAGAAAAAAGTGAAAGAGGAAATTGTGTCACTATTTTTTTATGAAAGACTCGACGATTTAAGCAAGTTTTTTAAATTTACAATGGCGTTCGCGGAATATCACTGTTGTTCCCTTTTTATAATAAATCGATGCTTATAATTTTTCCATTTAACGACAGCTGTCGCAAGATTGGTATTTTAAAATTGATATTTTATTTGAACACCATTGTAAATTTAGAAGATTTGTTTAGATAATCCCATTGTCCATAAAAAATAGTGAAACATTTTCCCCTTTCAGTTTTTTCCTGCACTGTAAGTACTATCACTAACAAGAAAAATGCTGGATATTAATAACGCGAACATGTTGTATATGTTTTCCACTTCTGTCTATGTGTGTATCCGATTCGTATCTTGCAGAAATTTGGAAATTACCTTCTTGTACATTTCAATGAACTTATGTATTGTTAGGTTTTCGAATTCGATTTCGACACAAAGTCAACATGTCGTATATGGAATGTGTATTTTAATATAAACTGTATGAACAGAAAGTAAGAGTTAATGCTGGTTGACGCATTGACTGCTATACAATTTTTATACAATTTATATAAATATGATTTACTTGTAATGGACAATTTTTGGTTTTACGAATTCAATAAACAAACATTTAAAATAATAAGTTCCAATAGCAATTATTTAATTTGTTTGATAATATAGTTTTTGTTTTATAGTATTGTTATACATCGGACATCTAAAAAAAACTCGTAGCTTTGCTTGAATAGTAGTATACGTACCTGTTCTGAAAATGTTTTATTAACGTTATTATTATTTTTACGCATCGAATGGCTGGACAAATTCTGAATGCCTGCCTTACTACATAGATATGGTTATAAATATATAATTTTTAATGTAAATTTAATTGCTGGAAAATTATTACGTTGACTGTAGTGAAAAAATGATTGCAGAGTACTGTGAGCTCGTGTATTGCAAAAACTACGACAGGAAATATTTTGTAACTTGGTTGAGAAATTCTAATTCATAGTCTACGGTCTTTATATCTTTCGCTAAGTGATTATAATTTATATCTGTTTATTGGAAATCGTTTTCTAACCAGAAGACGCGTTTGTATTTGTTTTTTTTAATACGAGGAACATATTTTTACGAGTATGAAAAATACAAGGAATTGTAGTGTCTTGAGAAACGATTATTGGCAGTAATGAGGACCACTTAAACATAAAATAATCATAAAATGATATGAAAATTGCATATTCGTGTGTGAATATTTAATAGTTACTTATGATACTGAAACACTTTTATTTGATGGTATTCATTTCATTATAATATCCTTTCAACATTTGATAGCGCCATAAACTGTCTAAAATGTTACGTTCTGTTTTATAGATATTATAAAATATCTTGTTATGAATTGGATCCTTTCTGGAACCATTTTTATAATTAATTTTTCTCTGATATCGCTTGTGCCAAATGAACTTTACGTTTTATTATTCTTCTAGAATAAGAATTAATATTAGACGTTCATAAATCTAAAAATTTACAATAGAGTTAAAGGTTATAGTCTTTTGACGATGATCCATTAAAGGAATGAATTTCAATTATTCAAATTTCATACAAATATTCTATTTAATTTCTTTTACAGATAATACCTGGATACTTAAACATTTACATGCATGTCACGTTTTTAGACACACGGATTCGAATCGTTACAAAAAATTAATAACAAATATTATATTATTAACCTTTCGCGACTCTCAGATGTCATTTGATTTAATTCAATAAAATTATAAACTTTTATATTCACTAAAATATTCTAATAAAATACTTTTGTTCCTGAATTTCTGTAAAATTTCTCTTTGCGTTATCTGTAAAAAGATCACTTATGTTTCATGAGAAAGTGATAAAACTTTCTAATGATCAAGATTTCGAGTTTAAAGGATTAATGTAAATGTCCTTTCGTTTTTAACTTTATCTCAATTAGAAAGTATTGTTTCATGTAAACACAGTAAGGATAAGAAGCAAGCTTCATCTACAAGTTTTTCTTTGTGCTAGATTAATACAAGAGAGTGAAGCTTCGATTGCTCAGTCGAAGCAATTTTAAATTTGGATTAAGATTTGAATAAGTGCCCATAAATATGGGCCGTATCCGATAGAGGCTGTTCCGGTGTTCCGAAGTGGATCAATAATGAATTTATAATCTTCTGGCTGGACACTTCATTTCCCCGTGTTGCGCACACGAACGATTATTTTTCATGTTTCCAATACAGCTTATAAGAAACTACGCTATCGTTTGCGTCAATTTCCAAATTCGGTTGAAAAAGTATAATAGAAATCGCGACTGCTATTTGACATCATAAAGGATGATATATTAGCGTCCCATGGAAAACTATTTCAACAGGTTTGGTCGGATCAAGCTCGTTAGAGCAGGCTGCAACGGGCAACCCGTGGCTCGGTTAATTGTCGTCTCGTTCGATTAATTATGATTAATCATTTGCACCAATTCGTTGGCCGGATAACGCGAGCTATCTCGTTTAAAGAGAGAATGGATCCGCTTCAAGCAATTGTGTATCAACGGTGACGTCAGTTTAACAGGTCGACACATACATTACGAAATGCGTACGACTCTGAGGGAATGGTAGCAGGTTGTTAATACACGTCAACTACGGTTTATCGTTACTGTAATCGATATAACGTGTACTCACGTTAGTCGATAGCTGGCTAGTCAACGAATGGACCTTCTCTTGAGCGTCCAGGAGCTCGCGTCGCAGTTTTCTCAATTCGTGCGCCTGCTTTTCCTCGGCTGAACTGTAGAGACTGCTCGCTGTCGATACCAAAGATACAGAAGATCCATGGACTGAGGGAGAAACAGGAAAAGAATTCTTGTCTCATTTTTGTTGCTTGTGTTTCAAAAGAAAATTAAATAGGAAACACGCGCGCGGGGAAAACGCGAATTTCTTAATATATTCGTTGAACAAAGTGGATAAATTATATAGGGTACTCTATAATTGGTATAACTGGAAAGAGATTTTATTTAAAATAATAAGTCTAAAATACACCGTTGAATTTTTTTCATTTAGTGTCTTTAATTTCAAAAAATTGGGCTTGAAAATTCATGGAATATACATCATTCGAGTAACGGGGAAGAATAATATAAGAACATTTTACATGAGAAATCAAATAGAAAATATGCAGTAAAAGCTTTCTAAACTCAATTTTCTAGGAAACAAAATTATAATTTAAAGATATTATTTTTCGATTTATTTTTTGCTTATCTGTCAGTACTCTAAGAATATGTATCATACGAAATGAAAAAACTAGATTATTTTATGATTATTAATTTATTTTAAATTTAATCCTACGATTATTAATAACAAAAAACATTAATATGATAAAATGTAATAGAATATCGAAAGCCTAATATTTTTGTTTCAAATGTTTACAAATTATCAGGTGTACACAGACTCCTTTGACTGATTTTCGGATTTGTCATTTTATCAATTATGTATTCTCGTGTGCGGTACATTTTCCGATATTTTTTGCAAAAAGAAATAATTAATCTACTTTTTCAGAAAGATGATTTTGACTATTAACTTTATTTTAAGCTATAAACTCATTGGTAGTGTAAAATACATAGAAAGTACAAGAAGAAGAAGAAAAATTAAAATATATATATATATATATATATATATATTTTTTGTTTAAAATCAAGTTGTAAACGTTTTATTATATTATAATTTCAAACCTTCGTTTTTAGCATTTATGCAAGCTAACTTTAAAACTCTAAATAACTTAAGGAAACATTCAAATTTCAAGTATTGAAAATTTAGTAAGTACTCATTAGTTACTATGCAAAATTCTATTTCCATTATACGTATTCTTTGTATAAAACTAGCGTGACTAAAATAAAGCATAAAGTTATAAGAATTATTTATGAATATGATTTTACATTCTAAAAAAGTACTTTCTATAGGACTAAATTGTTTTTAAATACAAAAGATACCTTTGAAGAAAAAACCCCTATATTTTTCAGTTCCATCTTTCATATTGTTTTCGATTAAAGTTGTTTGA